GAAAGAGATGAGGTAAGCCAGGTGCGAGTTTAGCTGGGAGACCAGAACACTGAGTAGAAATTATTCTGTGGCCATCACCAGGGCAGGCTGGCTTTGCTGATGGCCACAGACCCTCACTGCTCACTTGTGGAATCTCTGACTTTCTTTCCTTGTTCTTAACTTGCCCCTATTCCTTCTTCTTCCCTTCCTCTTCCTATTCGGTTTACACTGGGGTCTCCAAGGCTCTGTCCTGGGCTGTTTTCCTTGGTTCTTTTTCCCTTTGAGTGTCAAGGATTCTGCAGTCCACTGTCAACAGCCACTTGCACCTAGGACATCCCATGCACAGGCACCTGCTCTTGGAGAGCATCTCTGCCCCACCTCACCCACAGGTATACACACCACCTCCCCTTCCCCCGATGTCCCTGCCCACCTTGCCCGCCCTAATGGTGGCCCCCACCACTGTGTTGGTGCCATTTCTGCCCTTTTTCTTGCCTCTTGCACAATGAGATGCACAGCCTTGTATTTTCCCTTTGCCATCTCTGTCTCCTTATTCCACCATTGCTACCCTCTTGGCATCATCCCTTTCCTATTTCTGGTCCCTTCACTCCAATATCTTCAACATTTTCTGGTTGCTCTCACATGGAGCTGCCAGAGATGGCTTCTTCCTGTACCACGGGGCAGATCTGCTTGTGCCTAGGCCTGGCTGTTACATTATCTCTGTGTTCTTGCTCATGCTGTTATCAGTGCCCAGAACCCTTTCTCTGTTGCAGATCCACGCCTCTTCTTAGGCCCAGGTCAAGATCCTCCAGATGAAACTCAACCACTACCAGGGGGCTTCTCATTGCCTTTGTACAGTTCTCTCATACTTAATAGCTTTTAAATTATTAACTCCCACGTTCATTTCACAAATATTTATTGATCAGTTTTATGCCTCAGGTCCTGGAAACACAACGATGAAAAGACTTGGTTACTTTCCACATATTTGTTGTTTCCCACTGGAGAGGGGAGATGACCTACTGCAGGTGTTAATGGGACTTGGGAAGCTCCCCTCAAGACAGTTAATGGGGGGCTTGGAGGCTCCCCTCAAGATAGCTCTCATAAGTGGCCAAGAAGCAGGCCCAGAGCATACCTAGCTCTTCCAGGGCTGGAACTACCCCAGGCCACTAGACACTTCACAACACATCAGGCCTCAAGGCTGCTGACCTTGGGAAGAACCTGCAGCGACTAAGTGTGCCTGCTTCACTCTTTCCTCAGCACCAGCCTCTCCACTCCTCTCTGACTTGGGTGGATGGTATCAGTGTTTTACTGAGGATGGTCTGTACACCAGCTGTTATTTGGGGTTCCAGCCCATCTCAGAAAAACCTAGATTAGGACCTTTGTTGCCTGGACCTGAAAAATCTACCTTCTAGCAAATTGCCTTCTACTATACAGAACTCTGACCTTCCTTCAAAGAGGTCCACATCCTAATCCCTGGAACCTTTGACTGTCAGCTTAAAAGGCAAAGGGGGTGCTGGGGTTGTGGCTCAGTGGTAGAGCTCTTGCCTGGCATGTGTGAGGCACTTAATTCAATCCTCAGCACCACATATAAATAAATAAATGTATTATGTCCACCTAAAGCTAAATATATATATAATTTTTTTAAGGCAAAGGGGATATTACCCTAGACTCTGTGAGTAGATCTGGTCTAATCAAGTTATTTTTCTTTTTTGGGGTACCAGGGGTTGAATTCAGGGATACTCAACCATTGATCCACATCCCCAGACCTATTTTGTATTTTATTTAAAGACAGGGTCTCACTGAGTTGCTTAACACCTCACCATTGCTGAGGCTGGCTTTGAACTCATGATCCTCCTGTCTCAGCCTCCAGAGCCGCTAGGATGACAGGCATGTGCCACCTCACTGGGCATTATTGGAGTTCTTCAAGGCAGAGGTCCTTCCTGGCAGGGGTCAGAAAGAAATGTAATGGTGGAAGAAGAGACAGAGGACCACAGCTGTGCTGGCTTTGAAGACAGGGGTAGAGGAACATAGGGAACCTCTAGATACAAAAGAGGCAAAGAAACAGCTTCTCCCTGGACCCCTGAAGACTGGAGTTTTGTTGAAACCTCAATTTTAGTCCCCTGAAACCCATGTTGCACTTCTGACCTGCAGAACTCTAAAATTTGTGTTGTTTTAAGCAACTGTGTTTCATTATGGCAGCAGTATGCTCCTCATGTGAGTTTACATATTTAACATTTTAAGAACCTCTGCTGTATAAATCCACTCTTCTACATGATCATTACTGATCATGTTCCCCCCTGATCAAAAACCTGATTTAGCTGGGCCCAGTGGTGAATGCCTGTAATCCCAGCAACTCGGGGGTCTGAGACAGGAGGATCACAAGTTCAAGGCCATCTTCAGCAACTTAGCAAGACCCTGTCTCAAAAATAAATAAAAAAGGATTGGGGGTATAGCTCAGTGGTAAAGTTCTCCTGGGCCCAATCCCCAGTACAAAATAAAATCTTCTGATTCAGCTCCTAGAATAACCTGTTGATTCCTGATTTAAATTCTGGAGAGGGAAGGAATAAATGAATAAAGAAGTCTGGTTGACATGATTCCAGGACAATTCATAGGATGCTCTCTGTTATGGATTGGCAGTATCCTATGACCAGATGCCAGTCCCTAATCTAGTCAGCTTGGGAAATAAACCACAGCCCCTCTGACCTGCCTTTGTAGCCAGGGCTATGGATGTAGGAAGCAGAATGGCTGATGTCTAGGACAAGGTGCAGTGGTCTTGTAGGGCAGGAGATACCTCAAAGAGATGACAGCTATGGGGCTGAGACTGAAGAATGGGTCTGGGTTTGCCAGAGCATGGAGCAGACATGGGTGCAATTCCAGGCATTTAAATGCTTCAGAGAGCCGGGCCATTTGGGGGCAGTCAGCAAGCAGCCTGGTGTTGCTGGGGTAAAACCTGCAGGGGGTAAAGGGGACAACAACCCTTTCCTGGGACTTTTATACGCCTCACTGCAGGCCAGTCCTTATTTATTTATTTATTTTTTGATTGGTAAGCCAGGGGGAAACTTTGAGAGGTAAAGATGGATTGATTGGCAGTACTTTGGAGGGCGGACTGGAAATGTTTGAAACTAGACAACAGAAGACATTCTTGTTCCCTCCATCTTGAGTCTGAATTTCCCAAAGCCAGCAGCTGGATTTATTTCAGGGCTTGACTGCAAGAAGCAGGAAAAGGGAAAAATGAAGAGGAGGAGGGGGAGAAGTTTTTGAGGCACTGAAGACACACAAGTGTGCCAGGAACTTTGAAACTTCAAGAGAACTATTTTAAGAATAATATTTTTCTTTTTCCTTTTTTTTTTTTTTTTTTTGACGGCTTCTCATCTTTGGCAGCCCCTGAAAAGCAAATTCTGAGAATTATCCAAATTGGATTGAACTCCTTGGTGTCTCATAATACTGAAATTATTCTAAGTATTAAAAACGATAACAAACATAATAAGAAAGTCCTACATAGTTCTGATTTTGCCATTTTTGAATATCAGATTCTTTTCAGAGGACTATTTTTATTTGATGCTGAGGTGGGCTTGCCAGTGGTGGGGAAGGAGGCCTGGGGCAAAGGCACCGGACCTGCCTTGGGGATTTGGAAATGAAGCCTGCAAGTAGCCAGCATGGAGCAATTCCCAGTAGAACACGTGGGAATCTGTGAAGGAGCTACAGTCCCCAGGGCCCGTGCACAGCCAGGGCTTGCTTCATCAGACACCAAAGCCATGTCAGGCCCAGTGTGGCAGAGACACATTCATGGATTTGAGTTCTAGGAACGTAGGACACATGACAGTCCCAAGGATAATCAGGAAGCAGCCACGCTGGAGGCTCTCTAATCAGGGTAGGGAGGCAGGTCCAGGTTGCAACTACTGAATAAGGACTCAGATGCCTCCCAACTGTATTGAGGCCCTTCAGGTTGGTATGGGCCAGAGTTAAGAAACCAGAAGCAGAAAAACCTTTGGTGTGTAATGGGACTTTTCTCTAGCTTCATCCTATTCTGTGGAAACCCAGGGTCATAGTCACAAACACAAGTAGAATGAGATTAGCAGTTACATTTGGGCAGTTTGAGATCATATATATATAGACTGCTTTGTGTGAGTCCCTTCCTCTCTCCTAATTTTTTGTTTTCCAGGGCTGGAGATTGAATCCAGGGATGCTCCATTACGGAGCCACATCCCCTGCCCTTTTTATTTTTTGAGACAAGGTCTTACTAAGTTGTCCAGGCTAGCCTTGAACTTGCAATCTTCCAGCCTCAGCCTCCTGTGTCTCTGGGATTACAGGCTTCCGCCACTGTACCTAGCTAATTTTAATACAAAGCAAGAAGGAGAAAAAGATTGTAGCCTAAGAGTTCAGTTCCTAAGAGGACCAACACTATTCTCCCACCATTATCTGAAACCCCCCAGGCAAGGAAGCAAGGAAGGCTTGGTTTTTACAGCAGTGAAGAGACTGTTTCCATTTCCTCATGACTGACACCAATGAATTATAAATAATTCTTTATTATGAGTTTACATAGTGTTTGACATATAAAATAAATTTTATTTAAGTATTTAAAATAGTTTCTGAATATAGAAGCAATTTACTCTTATTATTGCTAAAATAATATTCACATTCAAACCTTTTAAATGTGAGGAACCACTATGCTGTATGCACAGGAGAACAGTCAGTAGTCTAATAGTGCTGTTTACCAGAGTAGTGTATACTTCTTTCAGAATCAAGGAATGATTCTAGATTACCCATGGAGAAAAATATGTACTATTCTTTTAGGCCAGTGACGCTCACAATGGGTTTCTTATCTACTTATGGGTTGGTATGTAATGGTCACATGTGTGTTTCCCTTCTCAGTTTTAAAAGCCACAACACCAAATCCAAGTTGCAATGTCTCACCCAAAACCCCACTAATGTATATATATTTGGATCCTGGGGATTGACCCAGGGGTGCTCCACTACTGAGATACATTCCCAGCCCTTTATTTTTTACTTTGAAACAGGGTCTCTCTAAATTGCTGAGGCTGGCCTCAAACTTGCCATCCTCCTGCCTCAGCCTCCCGAGTTGCTGGGATTCCAGGTATGCGTCACTGCATCAGGCGCCTTGCTGATCTTTTCGGGTGTTGTGTGGCCCATCTACCTTTGTCAGACTTAGAGACATGCTTAATGGTCCCACTCGCTGGGGCTCTGCTCATCACTGTCTTCCTCTGAGTCAGCAGACACTCTCTTGATTCTTTGGAGTGCAGCTTTAATGCTCCTCTCTAGGTCACTGGTTGGCTTGTCACTGAGGCCTGAGCCCAAGTCTGTGTGGACTTTCCTCAGTTTCACCCCTTGTCTTATGGCAGCCAGAATGTGCTCATTGACTGACGTGCGGGGAGCAGGCGAAAAGGGCACTTCCGCTTTCTGGAGAGGGCTTCTGCTGTGCCTTAAGGAGGCCAACACTTCATCCATAGATCCTGAAATTGAGCAAACAGAGCAAGTGCTACATCAGTATCATGCTGCCAGAGCATTACTGTGCAAAAGCTAGGAAAAGCAGTTAATGCCATGATTCACACAAATAATCATCAGTCCATTTGACAAAGCCTTGGTTACCTGTTAGACCAATGATAAGCTCTCTGAATCCAGGATAGTTGTTCTGTTTGGTTGCTGTGGTGCTGGGATAGAACCCAGGGCCTTGCACATACTTGGTGAGTCTCTACCAACTGAGCTACTTCCCCAGCCCCAGGATATTTAATAGCTCATATTCTATCTTGACTACTTACTTTCCACTAACATCTTCAAAGCCCTAGCAATTTTCAGGAACAGTCATGTATACCTTTTGTTAGAATGACTGCTTTCAAGACACCCTAAAGAGAATTATGGATGCCTGGGGTGGAAATAATAAGACCCACTGTACCTGAGTTAGATCCCTCTAAATTTATCTCCTCCATTTCTCTTTCCACTTAGAAAATAGCCTTTTTTTTTTTTTTTTAATGTACCCTGCTGTATTTCTCTAACTCCAGTCTTGGATATTAGTCATTGATGACTCATTCTGTGACAATGAAATGAGCAGGTTTCCACACACAGAAAGGCTTGAAATAAAATTCTAATCAGTGGCTCAATGAACAGAGAGGGGGTGGCCCTGGCACTGTTTTCTGTGTAGTGTTTAATTCCACCCACGTCACCCTGGAGTGGTTACATGCTCTATTTTTAAGGGTGTGAATACTGTCAAAACATACATTAGCTCAAAGTTTCCAGATACTGGATAGAAGCGATTTTACACTCTGACACCCTGAGACCCTGAAAGGATAAAATATTTATCTCCTACTGGATGCAAGAGTAAGATGTGGCCATTAAATTAGACATCTTCCAGGTAGGCCTTCAAGATTAAGAGTCATTTCTAGTTGGCTGACAAGGGCTACTTCACTTTGGATTTAAACCTATAACTGATGACAGTTCCCCTCTGGGAGTAATAAGTTTCATAACCACTGTCATTTTCTGGCACTAATTCACACTTTCTTCTTATTCTCAATGTTTGAGTTGAATAGAGCCCCCACAACGTGAGAATTAAGCCTGAGCTAGAACAGGCACCCCCATCGACCTGCCTATACCCAAACTCTGACATAGGCACAGGCACACAAGTGCTCACTTTTCTTTCATGTGATGTTATCACAAACCTTGTGGAAAAGGGCCATTGGGTCTCCACCTGAGAGAGTGACATTTTCAATTGTGCCTGGTGCCAGTAAGTGTACATAGTATTTTGCTAAGATTTATTGAACATACAAACCCTCCTAAAGCAGTAGGCTCCAAATCTGGGCACGTTTAAGCTGGTATCCTCAATAGTCTATGTATGAAGTCATGATTAGAATCATGGAGAACTACAGCCTTGTTACAAATTTTCAAATGTATTCAGTTTACTGTACTTGCTGACAAAAAGTGACCCACTTTTTCCCCACCAGTCATTCTACATTCTGGCTAATACACAATGCAATAGAATATAACAGAATAATGTGCAAGCAATATCCTTCTTAAAATGCAACAATTTAATCCTGTAAAGGCCTCAAATGCAACAGAAAATCTACAGTAAAGCAGTACTGAAAATTCAATGGCAGAAATCGGATACATACTGAAGTGTTAAGAAAACTAAAATATACTGTGTGTGTGTGTGTGTGTGTGTTGTGCTAGGGGTGAAACCCAGGGCCTTACACATGCTAACTGATCTACCACTGAACTTCATCCCCAACCCCTGAATAGACTGATTCTTTAACAGCCTCAGAAATCCCAAGCCATATGATCAAAAGAGATGTTTTTTTCAGGCTAAGTTAGCATTTATCAAACTCGGGTTGTACAAACTACAGTGAAAGACTAATATTCAAGTCAACAGATACTAGAATATTTTAAGACTAGAGAATTCTGAAATATATTTATTTGCAGATGGTAGCTTCTAAAGCTAGAATGCTTTGGCAGCTTAACAACCCCTGGGAGTAGGGACAGAATTCCAGCAGGTTACCTGGGCATTGAAAACTTTCCAAGGAATTGGGTGGTCTCTCAGCAGGTGACCCACACACTAGAGAACGTGGCTGATCATCTTTTACCCAAGTTCCAAGACCTAAGTTCTGATGATTGGCAGCTTGAGAAGAGGCCAGAGCAGAAAGAGGTGGAGGGAGAGGTGGTGGGGGTGGGGGAGGAGGAGGAGGAGGAGGAGGAGAAGGTTGTTGTTGTGGTGGGGACAATGACAGCTCTTCACTGGATTTTAAGTGTGTTCGGTCACCAACTGGAACAAAAATCTGGACAGGGATATTTCTGTGATAGTCTTGATCCTTGGGGGTTTTCTCAGTATAAACATCAGGTACGAGAGGAGCACTTCGGGCCTTCCCAGAGCACGGGGGAGCGACTGACACAAGCTGAGAAACTGGTGAGGACCTCTGCCGGGGAAGGTCAGCTGACAGGTTTGGAGCCCCAGGTTCCGAGCAGGATGTCTGCTGTAAGGATTGAACTGAATATTTCTGAAAATAAAACATGGTTGCAAAAAATTTGACACAAATGCAGACTATCAACATGCTGAAAGCATCTAAGAACAAATCTGTAAATAAACACTGATATATGCTTAGAGGACTCTAATTCACAATGGCTCCCCATCTTTTGTCTAGCCATCCTCACTACTCAATCTATTCTTATGTGCTAAAAAAGAAGCATTTATATCCTTTGACCAAGTATTACCTTCTCTGTAATAAAATGAAGATATGAATGAATACATAGAGATTAAAAAATATTCATAATATTCTTAGCATGAAAAGTTAGGAGCTCTACATGCCAACAACAAGAAGTTAGTTGAAAATTATGTCAAATTTATTTAAAATAGTAAGCAGCCATGAAAAAGCAGAAATAGTACAAAGCCTGTGCAACACCTAAAAAAAAAATTATGACATTGCATTAAATAAAAATAGCAGGATATAAAAATAATAGGTATTATGATTATAAACATTGGGGTAAAAGGTTTATGAAAAACACAGACATAAAAGAGAATATGGATATTTCTTAACTTTCAGGCTTAGACTAAATTTCATAATTAAAAAAAATTAACTTTGAAAAGTTCTGGTGTCTTAGGTATTCTTTTGATAAAGAAACATCTAATACTACAAAGAACTGTGGTGGGAAGGTTCCCTAAAGAAGGCACAGATTTGCCAATAAAACAAAATATGTAATACCAAGAAGCCATTAAAGTGAACTAGAACAACATGAATAAATCTCAAAAACAGAATTGGAGTTAAAGAAACTGGCAAAAAATGCATACAATATGACACTTTTATTTATTTGTTTCAGTACTGGGATTGAACCCAAGGGGCTCTACCATTGAGTCACATCCCCAGTCCTTTATACTTTTTTACATTGAGACAGGGTCTCACTGAGTGGCTGAGGCTGGCCTCCAACTTGGAATCTTCCTGCCTCAGCCTCCCGAGTTGATGAGATTACAGTCGTGTGCCACTGTGCCCAACAATACTATTAATGTAAACTGAAAACACACACATTGGGCAATTTATGATAAACTCAAAATACTTCTCTCTTTCCCCACATTCTTCTTTCTCCAGGATAAACAGCAAAGTAATGGCAACAAGCCCCAGACCTCAATGAGCTTTCATCATACAGTGACTCACATTAAGTTGAAGGAAACTAAATCTTCAAGATTCTTTCCCTCTGCATTTAAGCCACTCATTCTCTCCCACTCCATTAAAGCCTTCCTATCCACCCTATGCCAATGTACATCTCTGGTACAGGCTATCAAGAACCTCCCAATGAGGTCAGCCTGTTAGATTTTAACTCACTGTTCCAGTCTGTTGGGAGCTTAGGAGGCCTGAGTCTGCCATTGTAATCTCTCTACCCCTCGCATCTTTATATCATCCACATTTGAGAGGCTGATTTTCCATACTGCCATCCAACTTCCTGACCTGATGGAGTCAGGACCAAGCGGACAGAGTCACTGCCCTTGGATCCCTCCCAGCGGGTTCCATTCCCTGCATCGGTACCCTGGTGGTGGCAGGGACAGCCAGCTTCTCTCTACCTGGCTTCACAACCATCTGGGATTCCTGTAGCCCCGCTTCTGTTCATCCTTCCTACTGCGACTCAGGCCCTGATCTGGTACAATGTGAAATCAGGGTCTTTCTGAAGAGCAATGGGAGGAGGAGATCAGGTCTATTTTTTAGAGTCAATAAATTCAATTATATTCTTAAATAAGTTCTTATTTACTTTTTTAATTAAAAAAAAAAAAGTCATTCACTTTTAATAGAGCACTTTCACTACACTTAGGTCACAATGCTTCCTTGGTGACATTTTAAAGAATTCATCACAGCCAGGTGTGCTGGCACATGCCTGTAATCCCAGCAACCTGGGAAGCTGAGGCAAGAAGATCACAAGTTCAAGGCCAGCCTTGGCAACCTAGTGAGGTGCTAAGCAACTTAACAAGACTCTGTCTCAAAATAAAAAATCAAAAGGGCTGGAATGTAATTCAGTGGCAAAGTGCCCCTGAGTCGAATTTATTACAAATGAGGGGGGAAAGGCCAGTTAAAATTGAGGGCAGTTAAATTACTTTCAATTTTCCCTGCTGGTCTGAATGAGTCCCAGTGGGCACGGCTAGCACCACTAGGAGGACCAGGGAGTAGGAACCCAACCATGTTGTGCTGTCAATGCACCAGTTGTTTTAGCAGGGCTTTGGAAACACTGATATGCCACAAATAATAGTATTTCTGGAGCATTTCATATTCTAAGTCATCTGTTCATAATACCTAAGACTTTTCTCCTAGGATAAGTGATCTGCATTTATTTTCCCCGAAAAAGTGAGATGATCATTTCTAGAACTTACCTCTTTATAGGCTCTTAATCGCTGGAGTGTTTTTTGGCGTTCTTGGTTTATCCACTCTTTTTTCTTTTGCTCCTCTTCTTTTATTTTGTCTCTTTTCTATATTTAAACAAATGTATGTATAAGGTGCTCAGAATTCTGATTATATGTCTTGAAACACAAGCAAGATGGGTCTTGACAAAGAAAGGGGCTGTGACTCAACGTTACCCACCCACCATGTCTGTACCCAGCTGCAAGATGGGAGGAGCGAGGGCTGCGCATCTAGGCAACAAAGCCCGGGTTCCCACACGTACAGGCCATAGCATAACATCATGCAAATACAAAACATTTTCTTTCAGCTACTCACCATTTGAATACTATGATGCTGATGAAAATATCTTGTACTTTCTTCAGCCTGTTGCAATCTGAGCCGATGGTTTTCTTTGCACTGATCCTAATGGAATAATATACATCACCTACATGGTTTTTAATATTACCATGGCTGTGGCATAAAAGGTTAAAAGACAAAAGCATTGCATCTGGACTATAGTATAAGGCATTCATTAATATTAGCTTCTGGTGTGTCTCAACGGTATTGCCATCCCTACTCGTGTGAGAAGGGCTAATTGGCCGCTTACATGAGTAATTTGTTCCCAGGAGAGAGCCTTGAAAGATGAACAAGTGATCCTCCAACAATGAGGGGGCATACAAACAGGCAATTTCCATTTCTTTTTCTTTTCTTTTTTTTTTTTTGGTGCATTATAATTGTACATAACAGTGAATTTTGTTGTTCCATATTAAAAAATACACATAATTTGGTCAGCTTTGTTCTCTAGTACCTTCCTTTTCTCTCCCCTGGTCGATTTCATCTAATCTACTGTTATCCCTTTTATTTTCACAAGATCCTCCATTACCACCCTTCCCCCCCACCCTTTTCTTCTCTAGCTTCTACATAAGGGAGAACATATTCAACACTTTCTGAGTCTGGCTGTTTCACTTCATGATAGTCTCCATTTCCATCCATTTACCACAGATGCCATAATTTCACTCTTCTTTATGGCTGAGTAAAACTCCATTATGTAGATACCACATTTTCTTTATCCATTCCTCTGTTGACTGGCACCTAGACTAGTTTCAACTTGGTTATTATGAATTATACTGCTATAAACAGTGGTATGCAAGTATCCCTGCAGATGCTGACTTTAATTCTTTTGGATAAATACTGAGGCGTTAGCTGGGTCATGTGCTAGTTACATTCTTAGTCTTTTGAGGAACCTCCAAACTGATTTCCATAATCACTACACCTAAAAAATTATTTTTAAAACTATATCTCACCTATGTCTAACCAGTAATGTATTAATGCACATGTGGAAAATAATATAATGATAATACTAACATTTATTGACTATGTCTTAGGTCCCAGCCTCAGTGCCAAGCACTTTATATGCCTTATAACATTTTATTCTCATAATAACCATGAAATAGAGGAGCTTTCTTTTCTGAATCTCTTTATGTTATTATTTTAGTAATCATGCAGTTTTTAAAAATTAAGAAATAACCACTCAGCAAATATAAGGTCGATGAGCTGAATACTGCATATGTGATTGATTTTTTTGTAATACATAATTTATAATAAAATATATTTTAGAATTTGCTACAACTGATTATTAGAAATCCTAGCATGATTTTAAAAACAGCTGTATATACAGTGGGCATTCAACAAATGATTGTTGAATGAGTGAATTACAATCTGGAGATTATGATAAATGCTTAAATCCCCAAAGAAACAATTTAAAAAAAAATAATATTTAAAATATATTTGATGGGAGCCACTGTTATCTACAAACACAAAAATTAATCACTGTTTGGTTAAAAAAAAAGTCTTATTTTTCAATATCTCTCTCTCTTTTATAAAATAAGAAATCCCTGGAAGAGAAGAGAAAAATCCAGCTAGGGTACCTACCTTTCTGTTCCTGAGTGAGGCTCTCCTGGCACAGATCCTGCCCCGTTTGACCTCCAGCTTCTGGCACTGCAAGCTGAGTTCTTTCACCTCCAAGTTCCCACCATGCTGCAGGTCGGCTACATGATCCATACCTTTAAGTTCCTCTGGACTTTCACACGGGTCGTAATAGACAACTTCATCCTGTTTCTCTAAAATGTATTAATGATTTTCTTGAAACATATTTTGCCATAAAAAAAATAATGCATAGGGGCTAGGGATATAGCTCAGTTGGTAGAGTGCCTGCCTCGCATGCACAAGGCCTTGGGTTCAATCCCCAGCATCACCCCAAAACAAAACAAAACAAAACCAGCCTCAGCAACAGCGAGGCACTAAGTTTAAAAAAATAATGCATAGTTTTTTAATGTTAGCAAAGATTACTTATAATTTTATTATGGGGGAAAATCACTATTACCATTTATGTACATATATACACATACCACATGTATTTAGACACGTCAACAGAGTTCTAAGAAAACATTTTCCATGTGTTAGAAATAAAATTTTAATGGCAACATAGTTTTCTCTAATTTAAGATATTCTCTGTTGTAAGAACATTTTATCATTCCATTATTATCTACTTCTGTGATGAACATCTCTGTGCGTGAATCTTTGTGTATATTATAGTCATAAAACATGAAGAAATAGAGTAATAAGGGGTAGAGCATTTGCCTAGCACTTCCTTAACTGACAAATATTCAAAACTCTTTGATACCTCCTGCCAAACTGCCCTCCAGAAAGGAAAGTTATACTGGCAGCACACCAGAAAGTTGCCTTATTTTTATTTAATCTTGATTACATATTGATGTTTTAAAATGTATGCTTAATATATATAACAAATCCAAATCCTACAGAATTGCATTAAATAAAAGGTGATTTTTTTTCTTTTCCCCAAACCTACTGAGTACCATTCCCAGATGAAGACATTATATATAATTTAGTTTACATCCTTCCAGATTAACTTTTTTTTAAATAGACATTTTTCCTAAATATGTAAAATGCTTATAACTTGAAAGTACTGCAAAAATTTTTGAATACCTAGGATTAAACTATATGTTCAGAATGTACATGAAGAAAATTATTAAACTTGGAGGACCTTTAGGGGAAAAAAGATTTTTAAAAATAAAGAGACATACCATGATCTTGAGTGGGAAGAATCAAAATTGGAAAGATTTACAGTTCTCCCCAAAGTAATGTCTAATTTTAAGCATCATCCCAAAAATTCCAGTGAGTTTTTGGTTGTTTTTGTTTTGTTTTATTTAACTTGCCACAGTGATTATAAAGTTTATCTGGAAGAATAAAGAAGTGAAAATAGTCAAAAAACTTGTGAAGGATTAATAAGGGGTGCTTGCCCTACCAGATGTTAAAAAGGTGGGAAGACACTCACAAGTCAGTATAGGACAGTAAAAACTCACAAACAATTCAAAGTCAATCTAATGATTCTGGATATGAGACACAGCCATTCAAATCAGTGGGGGAAAATGTTTTTAAAATTAGTGATTGGAACCAAGAATATGAGGAGCAAATTAAATTCCTAATTGTTTGACAAACAATTGAATAATATCCTTAATATGGAAAATAAATATTTGGAAGGAAAATGAGCAAAGATCATGACTGGAAAGTTCATAAAATAAATATAAATGGCCCACAAACTTTTTTAAAAATTGTATTTGGTATGACTTATAATTAAATAAATTAAAATTAGAAGATGCCATTTTTTCTACAAAGTAACCAAAAATGTCAAAGGATGGCATGAGTATGGAAAAGCAAAGACTCTCATACCTCTGCTGACAAGAGCTTCATTTTGTATAATCTCTCTAGAGGGGCACTGTGTACATGCAATTTAGAAATCAGAAAATAGTATGTTCAGGATCTACATGAAGAAAATTATTAAACCAGGAGGAACTTCCAGTTTGCAAACATTGTTATCATGTTGTTTTAACAGAAATGTTTTAAGATATAAAATACACAATGTCCTTAACCCAATAATTCTATCTTTAGAAATTTATTTCTAGGAAATAATTTATCCTACATATAGATATATGTGTAAAAAAGAATTCTCTGCTAATCTGCTAATTGAGACAGTGAAAAACTGGAAATCACAGTATATCTATACAATGGAATACTATGCAGCCATTAAAATTCTGATGTTTTTATTACTTACTGAAATGAAAAGATGGTTATTATATATTAAATGAAAAAAATGTTACCGAATAGTTTATGTAGTTTTACCTTAAAAACTGATATTCATTTATGTACATCTGACATATTAAAAAGGCTACAAAGTTTTCAAATATACCACTAAGTATCTCTAAAAAATGGGCTTGGGGTTCTTCCTTCTTTAACAATGAATATGTGTGTGTGTGTGTATGTGTGTGTGTGTGTGTGTTTGGTACCAGGTATTGAACCCAGGGGCACTTAACCACTGAGCCACATCCCCAGTCCTTTTTTATATTTTATTTAGACATAAAGTCTCACTGAGTTGCTAAGGTTGGCTTTGAACTTGGGATCCTCTCACCTCAGCCTCCCGAGCCAGTGGGATAAATATATTATTTTAATAATAAAAACATGGAAAGGAAACTAAGAAATTTCAACAGGTGTTACAGAAAATTGATATTATTTTTATATTTCTTCAAGTGTGTAATTTAAACATTTTGATCTTATATAAAATATAAATTTACCTTTTATAAGTCTTTTAATAGAGTTCAGCTGTGTAGTAAGAAGTATTTCTTCATTTTTTAATATCTCAAATTTAACCTCATATAGTTCCAATTGAATTTCATAATATTGTATTTCTAATTCATCTACAACATGTATATTTTTTTCTTGTTCTGGAAGATCTTCCACCTTGTTATTATTGAAAAAAGAAGAACAAGTTAAAATAAAATAATTAGTGTGTTAAAAGCAAACTTTAGGTCTGGGTTGTAGCTCAGCGGTAGAGCACTTGCCTAACATATGTGAGGCACTGGGTTCGATCCTCAGTACCATGTTAAATAAATAAATAAATAAATAAAGGTATTGTGTCCAACTATAACTTAAAAATACATTTTAAAAATAAATAAATAATATAAAGGTATTGTGTCCATCTACAACTAAAAAAAAATTTTTTTTAAAGTAAACTTTAGAGGCATTCCAGGTATTTTCTCACTTATTTAGTACTAAAGTGGAAAAAGAAACATTTTTCCATTTCATCTAGTCAGATAAAATTTCCTTATTCAATGTTCATTATAGACACTTTATCTTATCTTTGAAACATGAAAATGTTTAGGTTCTGAGGAAAATAAATAGCAATGAGGCACTATATGAACTCTCTTTCCACTCCTCATTTGTATGGTTTTGTTGTTGATGTTGTTGTTTTTAGTTGTAAATGGACACAATACCTTTCTTTTATTTATCTGTTTTTTTGTGGTGCTGAGGATAGAACCTAGGGCCCCACACGTGCTAGACAAGCACTCTACCACTGAGCTACAACCCCAGCCCAGGGTTTAGTGCTCTTTTAGTACTTTCTTTCTCACTCCACGGACACACATTGAGGAAAGGACATGAGACTACACAGCAAGAAGTTGGCTGTCCACAAGCCAGAAAGAGGGCCCTCATCAGACACTGAATCTGAAGATACCTAACCTTGGACTTCCAGCCTCCAGAACTGTAAAAAATAAATTTGTGTTGTGTTAACCACCTGTTTATGGTATTTCCTTATAAAAGTCTGGGATGACAAAGGTATTTACAATGTTCTGTTTTAAAGTCCTAAGATCACAGAAAAAAACTTCATCCTTGGATGAAGCATCTCTTTAATTATTCTAAAGATATATTGGGGTCAGGCATGATAGCACATACCTATAATCCCAGCGACTAGGGAAGTAAGACAGGAAGACTGCAAATTCAAGGCCAGCCTTAGCAACTCAGCAAGACCTGATCTCAAAATAAAAAATAAAAAGGGCTGGGGATGTAGCTCAATGGTAGAGTACCTGCTTAGCACGTGTGAAGAAGCCCTGGGTCCAGTCTCTAGCGCTACCAAAAAAAAAAAAAAAATACTGAAAATATTGCTGGGTTGATTGTAGAGTAGAAGACTGCCCACTTCAATATTGCAGTCAGTGTCATTATAAATCCTACAATAAAATATCTCAGAAATATCTTGATCAAAGGGAAAGTTTATGGTCAACCTTCCATAAGTCTCTAAAGTCTTATCTACTAGAAGATGATATTTGGAATAAGAAAAGAACTGCATTAACAATACCCAGATAGAAAGATGCTATCTAAAATAAAAGTATATTTTAAAAACAAAGTTATATTTATCTTTATCTTACCTTTCTCTGAATTTGCGCTCTTTTGTGATTTAAACACAGCTCTTTGGCTCTCATGAGTTGCAGGGTCTCTCGAGCTAGCATGAGCTTGAGTTTTTCTAATCTGGGAGTGGCTGTGGCCCAGGCAGCCTGGCCAAATCTCCTCCCATCCTGTTCCATTTGTTTCTGCATTCCTATTGGATTATAATTAATAAAATAAAATTACAACTCATTAAAAGGAGCAAAATTTATTCTGAGCTAATTCTTTGTTTATTGTTTTCCATTATTATATGTAAACCATCCTTTTTAAGAAATTTTGTTTTAATAATTTTTTATTATCACAAAAGTAATATGTGGTCATTGATAGAAAAGTCCAGGTATTTCATTAAAAAGAAAAAAAAATAGTAGCTCATGATCTACCTAGCTGAAGCAATTGCTTCTTACACTTTGGTACATATCTGTCCAGACTTTTTCTGTGTCTACCTAGACAGACAAACAGGCCTATATAGATAATCTGACTAAAAGAAACTACAATCACCATTGTGCTTTATATATTTTTTTTCACTTAATATATTGGGGATTTTTGTAGTTCATTTAAAAAGATATAGAGGGCTGGGGTTGTGGCTCAGTGGCAGAGCGCTTGCCTCGCACATGTGAGGCACTGGATTCGATCCTCAGCACCATATAAAAAAATGAATAAACAAAATAAAGATATTGTGTCCATGTATAACTAAAAAATATTTTTAAAACAGATATAGAGAATTGTGCTTAATAGCTATATAGTTCTCTGTTTTACAAATGTATTATATCTTATCAAACTGATTGACAGACATGAGGTTGTTTCCTGTCTGGGGCTATGATCAACAACAGTGTAAGATTAGACAAAAGTTGTTTGCTCCACCCCCAAACATTCTGGTGTCTGACCCCTCCTGCCGAGCATTCTCCCTCCCACTGCACCCTCTGCCATCCAGCCCCTGGGCTTTCTTTAAGCCCCTCATATCTGCCAGGTGCCATCAAGCCAGAGAGCCTTTTGCAAATGCTATTCCATCCAGCACACTCTTTTGCCCTCTCAATTTCCATGAGCCCTTCAGATGTCTGGGCACACATTACTTCTCACAGGACTCTGGTGACCACCCTGATCAAACCCAGTTTCTCTCCCATAGGCTTTCAAAACCCCGTGTTTCTCTTCTCCCTGACCCTTATTGCCACTGCCATTTTCCATGTGCTGAATGAATATATAATGAAATGAACATTTCTCTCCCTTCACCAGACTGTGCGGTGTCTGTTTATGATTATCTTATATAATTCCCAATACCTAGGAAACACAGGTATTATTAGGAGGCTTTTTTTAATAGTATGAAAATTCGCTTAGTATAGCATTTTTTTTATTATCACCTGCTAATGCTTTTACTGTTTCCTTAAAATAATTCACAGTGATCTCCTGAATAGAGACAACAGCTTCTTCAGCACGTCTGCTCCATTCTTTGGCTTCCTTCTGCAGGGCAACTACCCTTTTAGGACCCAGATTATCCTCATCCAGGGACTTCTACAGAGAGCAGAGATAACAGTAGTGTACAGCCATTAGCAATTTAAAAGGAGACTTATTGTCTTATCTACTTTCACTACTACTACTTAGTCAATTAAATTTCCATTCATTCAGCAATCCTTTATTGAGGATGAGCATGGCTCTAAGCTGGGCACCACCTGCAAGACAAAGGGGTACTCTGAGGCATAAAGGGAAAAAAAACCCACTTTCACTTTACATTACTAGAATAACTTTTCTTGGAGAGGAATGCTGTAAAGTTATGATTCTCTCTATTAAAAATAATACACAGTTGCTTAAATGGGATCTGTACTAAGCACGCAGCAGAGTCTGATCCATAGCACTCCAGTGTTAGCTGTTTCTATGGTTTCTTTTAGGGACAAGACAATTAGCTTTTCAGGACTATTGTTCTTTTCTATGGGAAAAAATACAATCACCTAAAAAACAATAAACTCTGTATACTCCTGATTATGACATGTATTCCTGTGAACTGAATGTTCGTGTCCACCCCTAAAGTTATATACTGAGGCCTAAATCCCCAATGTTATGGTACAAGGAGGCGGGCCTATGGGAGGTAATTAGTCATGAGGGTGGAGCACTCACAATCAGGATTAATACCCTTCTAAAAAGAACAGAAGACAAGAAATCCCTCTCTTTCTTCACCATGTGAAGGTACAGCAAGACAACCATCTATAAACTAGGAAGTGAGCTATCATTGCAAACCAGATTTGCCAGCATCTTGATTTTGGATTTTCCAGTCTCCAGAACTATGAGGGGAAAAAAAATTCTATTGCTTTATAAACCACCCAGTTTACAATATATTGTTACAATAGCCTGAACTAAGACGTCCAGCATTCAATTTTCTGTCTACAAAACATTATTTACTGATATCATATATATATAGGATAACCATCAGAGAAATGCAAATCAAAGCTACAGGGGGGAGCTGGGGATGTAGCTCAGTGTGGAGCACTTACCCCACATGTGTGAGGTCCTGAGTTTGATCTCCACACACACACACACACATACACACTATAATGAAATCACTTCACACCCACTAGGATGGCTATAATCAATGAGAATATCAATAACAAGTGTTGATGATAATGTGAACACACTGGAACCCTCATTTATGCTGGGCAGAATATAAAATATACTTGCTTTAGAAAACAGACTAGCAGTCCTTCAAAAGTTTAGGCATTAAATGACCATGTGTCCCAGCAATTCCACTCCTCAGGACATACACAAAAGAAATAAAAGCATATGTCCACACAGAAACTTGTACACAAATGTTCATAGCAGCATTATTCATAATAGCCAAAAAAAGTAGAAATAACCCAAATGTCCATCAACTGCTAATGGATAAGTAAAATGTGGTGTATCCTTCTAATGAATATTATTCACAATAAAAGAAATGAAGTCCTGAGACATGCTACAGTGTAGGTGAACCAAGAGAACACTGTGCCAGGTAAAGCAAGCCAGTCATGATTCTGTTTACGTGAAATGTCTAGAAAAGAAAAATCCACAGAGACAAAAAGTAGATTAGTGATTATCTAAGGTTGGTGTGAAATGGGAATGACTGCTAGTAGAAACATGGTTTGGGGGGAGTTAAAAAATGTTCTGGAATTAGTAGTGGTGGTTGTACAACTCCGAATACACTAAAAACCATTGAACTGTACACTTTACATGTACAGTCTATGAATTTATCTCAACAATCCTGTTACTTAAAACACACACACACACACACACACACACACGGCAGTAAAGACTCTCCAAACAACAGCCTTTCAAAATAATGAACAGAACAACTTTATCTTCAAGTTATAGTGACATGAGCTTCATCTAAATGAAATACCATTTTTATAATACAAAAACCTGGCAGAGGTCATGAGAGTACATATGGAAAGATGGCCCAGTGCAGGGGGCAGAAATCAAGAAAACTCTCTGATGTCTTCTGATTCTAGTTGATGAGATCCAAGGCAAGCTGCTTACTTCCTCTGGATTCTAGATTCATTTGCACCTCTGGGATGCAATAGTAATAATAATATCTTTTCTAAATAGGAAAAGTGAAATCAGTGATGACAGCCTTAATAAAGTTTAAGTTACTGAATTACAATCTAGGACCCTGCTGCTTAAATTTCATACTATTTCTAATAAATCGCCAGGTGTCCTTAGAGGTGAAAAATAAGCTGAATAAGTAAATAAACATCACATCAAAAATAATAAATCAAGCAGGACATGGTAGCAAACTCTACAGTCCTAGCTACTCAGGAGGCTTATGCAAGAGGATCACTTGATCCAGAAGTTCAAAGATAACCTGGGCAACAGGCTAACTTTTTCATTTCACTTCAAAAAATGAAATAAAAAGCCTATGTATCAGCAGAACAATGTTTAACCCTTTAAAATTTATAGTTTTTAAGGTGTTGAGAAGATGACCAATGTAAATGTCTTCATTTAAAAAAAATTTAAAAATTCTTTTTAGTTATACATGAGAGTAGAATGTATTTTGACATATCATACATACATGGAATATAACTGCCCAATATTGTGGTTGTATATCATGTGGAGTTACACTGGTTGTATATTCATATATGAAAATAGGAAAGTTATGTCTGTTCATTTAGAGGTTTTTTCCCATTAAATGCCTTCATTTTTAATCAATATTTTCTCTTTTTTTTTAAATTGGTGCTAAAGAGCAAATCCAGAACCTCTGAGCTAAATCCCCAGCCCCAATTTTAAAATTAATTTTAAATATAAATTCAATAAAGCTATAATATCATTAAATACAAGATGAACCCAAAGAAAGTAAAATACAGATGGAAACTAAAGTGTGACTAAAAAATATATATACGACAGATAGATATCTGATAAAATAAAAATATAAGGAAACATACCAAAATACCAAGCTTACATAAAGTTGCAACTTCCCGCATGTCCCTGAATGGCTGCAGTAAATACTGGAAGAACATGGTTGCCATAGTAACCAATTCCTGATAAGCTTCATCTTCCTCTTGATAAATTTTCATCAATGATACCATGTTGTTGGCTTTTTCATGTCCTTGAAGAACCTAGAAGCCAAAACATAAATAAAGCTCAAATCTGCACATTATTTATAAAATCATACCAAACAAAATTAAATAAAAGAAAGCTAATGTTGTCAACTTGAATACATTTTTTTTTTATACTGGGAATTGAACCCAGGGGTGCTTCACCACTGAGTCACATCCCAGCCATTTTTATTTTTATTTTCAGACACTCAATTTCAAGTGTCTAAGTTGCAAAGGGTCTTGCTAAGTTGCCGAGGCTGGCCTCAAACTTGCAATCCTCCCGTCTCAGCCTCCTGAGCTGTTGGGATCACAGGCATGGGTCACCATGTTATTGTCCTCCAATCAAAATGCCCAAGAAAACAAATGTGGTTAAATAAACTATTGTATATCCACAGCAGAATATTATTACTGTAGTCTTTCAACACTGTTTTTTTGAAGACTGCTTAATAATATGAGGATTTTGTAATTTTTTTTAGTTGTAGATAACACAATGCCTCTATTTTGCTTATTTATTTTTATGTGGTGCTGAGGATTAAACCCAGTGCCTCACACATGCTAGGCAAGTGCTCTACCGCTGAGCCACAGCCCCAGCCCGGATTTTGTAATATTTAATGAGGGAAAAGCAAAGGACAAATTTTAAAAAAAAATTAGTTGTAGATGGACACAATACCTTTATTTTATTTATTTATTTTTTTAACATGGTGCTAAGGATCAAACACAGTGCCTCACACATGCAAGGCATGTTAATAGCATTTATCTCCAAGACCAATATTATGGATATTTTTTCATTTAACTCTTCTAACTAAAGGATTGGTGAGATCATAACTCCTTTTTTCAAAGCTCATAAAGACATTCTAGAGACGTCATCAAGTACTTCTTCAGCAAGTTGAGTCTCTTAATTCCCCAAAGTAAATATTCCATGAAACCACCCACAAAGTAGACTTATTCAGGGAGCCTCAACTATGGCTCTAGTCTCTGCTAAGCATTGTTTCTGATACAGAGCACCAAGCAATTTGTAATCCAGGTGAACTCATTTGGAAATGATCTTTCCCCCAAAAGAGAAAAAATAAAATCAAGTAATGGTACAGATTTGTTTTCAACCAATATATATATTTTTTAATGTTGTTGATGGACCTTTATTTTATTTACTTATTTATTTGTGGTGCTGAGAATCGAACCCAGTGCCTCTTACATGCTAGGCAAACACTTTACCACTGAGCCACAACCCCAGCCCCTCAACCAATACTTTTTTTTTTTGTTTTTCTTTTTTAGTATATTTTGATCCAGGGGCTCTGTTTGGCCACTGAACCATATCCCCAGCCATCTTTTATTTTTGAGACAGGGTCTTGCTAAGTTACTTAGGGCCCTGCTAGATTGCTGAGGCTGGCTTTAAACTTGCAATCCTCCTGCCTCAGCCTCCCAAGCTGCTGGGATTACAGGCATGCACCAACGCACCCAGCTCAACCAACACATTTTTAAATTCTTCAATTTCCATCTTTCTACTTAAGAATAATCTGACCTAATCTCAACTGTAGTTTTATCCAGGTAACAAAAGTAACATTTAAAAAAACTTTTCCCTCGCCAAGATTAAAACACACAGATGCAAAGATTAAAAACTGAAAATTTTCAGCCTTATTCCTTAAGACTATTAAGGAAAAAATTCCAGAGTCAAACATTTAGCTAAATTTTGTAGATACTAGCAATATTATCAACTGGTTTAATTCTAGAATCAATTGCTTTTTTATTCTAAATAAGATTACATACACTTCCATGGACATGATAGGTTTTTAAATTTTCACCCCTCTACTCTATTTTTAAGTTCCGGTAAACAGGTGCATTACAGTACTGTGAGCACCTAGCTCAACAGTATGAACTACACTAGTATTATATAACATCCCTGAATAAACTTCAATTTGGGAAAAGTGTAACTTTTATGTAGATATAATAATATCTACATAATATATAAATGCTGGAATTTAAGGAGAAAACACTTCTGAGAAATCAAGTGTCTGAAAAACAAGTCTGTTTGATATGAAATGATCAAGCTGAAGATTAAAAGCAGACTGGCATGAAATTCCCCTGGTTTCCTCATATTACAATGTAGAATCAAGGTGGGTTTGGTGGCCCACACTCCTAATCCCAGCTAAGATAAGCCTGGGCAATTCGGTGAGACAAACCCTCAGCAACTTGGTAAGATCCTGTCTGAATTTTTTTTAAAATAAATAATTAATTTAAAAGGGCTGGAATACAGTTCAGTGGTACAGTACTCCTGAGTTCAATCCCCAGTACAGGGCAGGGGGAGTAAAATCAACACATGCTGAGTAGGTGTGTTGATAGCTACACATAAAACCCACAGTATAAAATGATCCCACTAAACTCCATTTATAAAACCATTTCAGTTTTGAAAGTTCATCCTAAATTTAGCTTTAAGGAATATACAGTAATTAAGATTTTGCAATATGCTGGAATTCTTCTCTTACACCTTCCCTTCCTCAAAGCAATTTACAGAAAAATCATTCAGGTTAATATCAGGTTAATAATGTCCAATAATGAGAAAAGGTAAGAGGGGATGTACGGGGCACCAAACCTTGGCTTTCCTTAAATGAATTGTTGCTACTGAAGTCATAATTTCTCCTAATCTTTTTATTCACTGAAATAATTAATTTTTCTCTCAAATTGCCTGGGGGGGAAGCACTACTGTTGTTATCATTCTAAACTGATGAATAAAGTGCACTTCCTGTGGGGTTTCCACTTAATCGTCTTTGTTACTTAAAAAACTAAATACCTATTTCCTTAGTAAATTCATCCTCTAAAACATCTTGTCTCTATTCTTGGTGTTCCCTAGAGAATCTACAATTGCTTATATTTAGTCCATGCTATTATTTCCTACAGGTTATGGATTATTTTCCGGTGTGTGTTTGGTTTGTACCCGGGATTGAATCCAGAGGCGCTTAACCACTGAGCCACATCCCAGCCCTTTCAAAAAATATTTTATTTCGAGACAGGGTCTCACTGAGTTGCTTAGGACCTCGAGAAATTGCTGAGGCTGGCTTTGAACTCCCAATCCTCCTGCCTCAGCCTCCCAAGGATAGACGGCCACGGCAACCAGTTATTTTCAGTTTTGCTTTCAGTATTTCTGGGCTTTCCTGGTTACAACATCCTGCTCTGCCAGTATCTTCGGGAGAAAGGTTAAGGGCCTGCCCTAGTCCTAACTGCAAATAAACTTTGACCTAACAGAATGAGCCATCTCTCTCTAGGCCTTAATGCGAGGTCCCTCCGAGTTTCTCCCAGCTGCCCCACACAGGCGCGGGTGACCCTGCGCCTTTCTCTGCACGCGCGGAGGGCAGTCTTTGCGTCCCCCCAGCCGGCAAATCCTCAAAAAGGTCCCGCGCAGCCAACGCCGACCGGCGGAGCGGACGCCGCGCATACCTGGTGCAGCCGCGCTCCCGCCTCGGCCCGCCGCGCGCGCAAGGCCCGCTCCCGGAGCTCGTGCGGGCTCTCGCAGTCGGCCGCGCCGCTTTCCGCGGGGAAGAGCGCGTCGCGCACGGTGACACCGCCGCAGCCGTCGGCCGCTTCAGCCAGATAGCGCTCCAGTTGCCCGCAGAGCTCCAGTAGCGCCGTCTCTCCGAGGCCAACGCGCACCGGCCACACTAGCGCCCACAGCCCGCGCCCGCGGTCCCCGGCCCCGCAGCCAGCCACGTCCAGCTCGGGCGGTAGCTGTGGGAAGCTGCGTTCCAGGGGCGGCCACAGCGCCGCCAGCTGCCGGTGCGCCCCGCGGAACCCCGCGGCCGAGAGCAGGCCGGCCCAACTGGGCGCGGCCCCGGCAGGCTCCGGCGCGGTCCCTTCACGCCGCCGCCGCCGCTGCGCCGTGCGGTCGTGACAAGTCACAGCGAACTGGCCCTCCGCGTCGTTCCAGGCCACCAGGAAGCGCAACTGGTGCCGTTCGGGTGAGCTGAAGAGATCCTCGCGGAGTGGCACCCAGCCCTCCAGGCTGTCGGGCTGCTCGTCCTCCATGGCCCCGACGGTCCGCGTCCCGTGAGCGCTGCTCGCCTGGGCCGGGCATCGGTGCTCCTCCTACCACCGGACCGTCCAGGCCGGGACATCCTCCACTAGGCTCTAATCCGCGACAGCGTCCAGCTCTGCGTCCCACCCCCAGCCCGCAACTGATTGGCTGGGCGTCCAGGATTGGTTAGCTGACATAAGGGAGGGTCTGCGACAACCAATGAGAAGGTCAAAACATCTGCCTTTGACCCTGACGGAACGAAATCAATTTAGCGATCTGGTCTGGAGCCTGGGAAATACTCTTGCCTCACTTTCTCCACCTTTGCACTTAACTGGAGTTGGGGAAATATTTGTTAAATGGACGAGCTAGGTCTGCCTCCTACACCAAAACTCAAACTTCCTGAAGACAGAGACACTGTTGCTTCCGTCTTCTGTCATCAAGTCCTTTTGGAATATGGGCACAAATGTGGTGGGGTGCCCAAATATTCAATTAAAATCAGTAGTTATTTATTGAGCCTAGATGCCAAGCACTGGGTAGAAACCAAAAAATTTATTTTTGTCAATTCAATAAGATTTTGCCTGCTGTGTACTAGTATTGGGGGGAGGTTTGGTGGGGGAGATACAAGAAGACATTTCTGCCTTCAAAGCAGCGTTTAAACAATATATGTTCTAACTCTATTCATTTTAGAGGTAAGGAAACAGACCTAGAAAATGAACTTGTCTTAAGATACAGAATAAACTGGGGCTAAACAAGGTCACCCGGCCACTGATGGCCGGATTAAGGAGGTATCAGGAATGCCATTTACATGTAGAGATGGAATGGGAGGCAGAGCTGGATGTGTTTACGCTGCAGAGAACAGGACACCGATAGTCTCTAGCTCGTACAGTACATGGCAGTGTCCATCTATAAGTGCACTGAAAGGGGTAGAGGAGGCAGGGCCGGGAGGGAATGTTCAGGGAGCTAGGACCAGGAGCCCCTGGCCAAAACAAGGCCTGGAAAGGTCGCTACTCTAGAAGAAATGAAGGAGCATTTGAAGGTTTTGATCTGGGAAAGCCTAGAATCAGATTTGCCCTTGCTGTTGTCCTCAAGGTTAAACAGCAGCAGAAGAACAACAAATGAAAAAACCAGAGCCAAGTTTGAGCTATGATTAGGGCATCTCTGCATCCTGAAATTGACCTCCACAATGTGTAGCGGGCAACTTGAAGATGGAAAGCTGCCTCTGTTTGAAGGAAAATACCCTTCAAAGCCTGGAGGCAATGGGCCTTGCTCTCACACTCACCCAGTCCTCTTCAGAGATAATCTTTTAGTTGAAGTGATCTATTTCCCCCAAAACTACTTCTAATATATTGTTTTAGTTAATATGATCTGTTTACTTTTTTCTTTTTTCTTTTTGTAGTGCTGGGGATTCAATCCAGGACCTGACACATGCTCAGCAAGTGCTCACTAAGTTGCTTAGGGTCTCACTAAACTGCTGAGGCTGACTTTGAACTTGTGATTCTCCTACCTCAGCCTCTTGAGCCTCTGGGATTACAGGCATGAGCCACCAACCTGGCTCAACATATTAGTTTTTGGGAGACATAAACATTCAATAGCATATGTGCATATGTCTATAGCATATGTGTATACATGTAAGACAGTTGATTTTTGTTTGTTCACTTGTCTGGGTCACAGGGGTGTCCAGATATTTGGTCAAAGTTTATTCTGGATGTCTATGAAAGTGTTTCGGGATGAAATTAATATTTGAATCTGGAGACTGAGTAAATCACATGACCCTGCCCAATGTGGTTAGGCTTCTTCCAATTAAAGGTCTGATAACCTCAAAAATGCTAAATGGGAATTCCTCCTGCCTGATGCTTCCAGATTCTGTCCTGCCTTGAGACTCAAACTGAAACATCTGCTCTTTCTAGATCTTGAGCTTCAGCCTTCAAACTAGAAATACCAGACTGCAGATGCTGTCTGCTCTCTGGGTCTTCAGCTTACCAATTGCAGATTGTGGGACTCCATTAATGAGAAGTGGTTTGGGGGGTGGGGTGGGATTGGGGCTCAGTGGTAGAGCACTTGTCTACCACATGCAAGGCACTGGGTTCGATCCTCAGCACCACATAAAAATAAATAAATAAGTATCCAACTACCACTAAAAAAAGAAAAAAAGAAGAAGTATGTATTACTGAGGCTCAAACCCAGGGCACCCTGTCACTGAGTTACATCTCTGGCCATTTTTACTTTTTATTTTAAGACAATCTCACTAAGTTTCCCAGGCTGTCTTCAAACTTGGGATCCTTTTGCTTCAGCTTTCTGAGACATTGGGATTACAGGTATGTGCTACTTAACCTGTGAGCCAATTTTTTATTATAACTCTCTTTCCATAGATGTAAACATCCTGTTGGTTGTTTCTCTAAAGAACCTTGACTGTATGTATGTATGTATGTATGTATGTATGTATGCACGCATCTGTAGTACTATACCGAATGATATTCTACATGTTTTTTTCCAGTTACAAATATATCATGGACATTTGCCATATTAAAAAAAATAGGTATAGAATTTGGGGTATAACTTGGTGGTACAGTGTGTGCTTAGCATGCACAAGACCTTAGGTTCAATCCCCAGCATCAAAAACAAAACTAGAATAAGTATCTACATCATTATTTTTTATGCTTGAAAATATTGGGTTGACCATTTTATAATTAATGAATACTCTAATAGTAAACATAGGTTAATTTCCATTTTCTGCACATATAAACAATGCTATGTTGGGATGAGGATGTAGCTCAGTGGTAGAGTACATGCTTAGCATGTTTATGGCCCTGGGTTCAATCCCCAGGACCATTAAAAAAAATAAAAAGAAACAAAATGCTGTGGTGACTATTCTTGCACATCCATCTTTGCATAATTTTCTCTTAATTTTTCTTTTGATATTTTATTTTGCTTCTAATATTTTTATTTTACAAATACATGGCAGTAATGTATTTAAAATACTTTCAAAACAATAAATATAAATATAAAAATTCAAAATCAGATCACCATATACAGTCTTTCAAAGGAAATTGTCCAGAACCTGATTCACGCTTCTGAGACCTCTCAGTTAATTGAAGAAATAAATAGGAGTCAAGTAGAGAAAAGAGGCTATTTGAGACAAAGTGCTAGAGGAGTTTCACTGGAGGAAACTGCTCAGGCTGGGGAAGATTTGCCATGCCATCCTCTAGCCCGAAGCCCCATGAAGGGGTCCTCAAAGGGACCCTTTAGAGAGCTTGATGTGTTTCCTGCATTTGAACTCATGATGGTCTGGGATGAGAGGTTTGGCTTCTTAGGTAACAGAGCCAGTGGGACTGACTGCATTGGAGTCACCTGCATCCCAGAGTTTGACAGGACCATGGATGGGGACTTTTGTCTTAGATCCAAATGTGGGCCAACAGGAAAAGTAACCTAGATCCTGCCCAAAAGAGCTACCTACCTAGAGAAGGAGATCTCAGCTGAGAGATCCTGATGGTGGTCCTCCAGATCCCTGAGGAGAAATAAAAAAGATTGCCTGGAAGAGAGGAGCTGTCAGCTCGTGATGGGAACTTAAGGAGAGGGGTCTCTATAATGGGGATCTCTCGAGATGTATAAAAGATCCCCATGGGAGATTCAGGTCTAAGTATCTCCCAGACCCCAGAAACCCAAAGTTAGAACCCACATCCAGCAGCTCAGGGAGGAATGTGGAAGGAGAGGTCCACCTCACTCTGTCTCTCCTCAGAGAGGTTTCCTGCTAAAGAGGCCCAAGCTGGAGAGGGGAGATTTTGATACTGGCTAACAAAGCAGGTTTGGCTTTTTGGTTCATATATTGAATTGGATATTCCATTACTGAATTGACACTATGACTTCAAGTGACCATAAGACTGTGTGTTAACTAAAAGGGAACAGAAGATCATAGCTTCTTGTAGATTTTCATCCAGAGAGGGGAATAATCCCCACCTTGAACACACTTTAAAGGAATGATCAGAGAAAAATAAAAATAAAATAAATTGCATTTGATTACCTCCAGTGTTGTGCTTGTTCAGAACACTCTGGGAAAGCACAGGAGGAAGGCATACAGCCTAAGGGCTGCCAGACAGCTCCTTCCTAGTCTTGCTGTGACAGCCCCACCCCTCTACATGTGGCCAGCTATCTGAGTCACAGGTCTCAAATGCCCACAGTAAATGAAGTAACTCAGAGCACAGCATGTGACCCCTCCTGATGACACTTGAGCAGTAAGAAGTGGTAGGTCTATATTTGGATTTTCACTCCCAGCAGGCCTGTTGCTATTTGCAGCCCGAGCCAGCTCATGTTACCATCCAGCTTTGGTGTCCCACTTGCAGAATCCTGGTGTAGAATAGGCAGAGGTAGCCCGCAGGGCATGCAGAGGTCATCAGGAAAGAAAGCCTGCTGAACATGGAATCGATTTTCTTGCAGAAATCCAGATCCTTTGAATTAAAAGAAGGATTTATGGAACCTTAAATTAGCAGGCAAGTTTTGGGGTAGTCATATTCTTCTAATGCAAACCGTATCATTAGAAACTCTCAACTAAATGCCACTGTTAGTACAATATCTTTCCTTTAGATGGAAAGGGATATCATGGCAAATCCCAGATGTTTAAATTACACCTAACAGTGCAAATGTTTCTGTGACTTCTTGTAGCAGGAATTCGCACTTACTGAATATGGAGTTGGTACCAAGTTTGAAAAGCTGTTATGAGTAGGGAGAAGCTGATGATTCGTGGAATGTCTTTAGCATGTTTTTAATGCAGGGCCTCTTTGCTAGATGGTTTGATATTGATATTATCTGGCTATACTATACTATTGGGTTGATAAATACTTTTTAAATTTTAATCTGCATGTGAATCCTGGAAATTCATAATTTCATTCTTTGATTCGAATACTGAAAAATAGAATTGTAGTTGCTTCTTGTGGGTGCAGAGAACCTCCTCCCACAGAGTGTTTTCAGGTCTGTGCTGTACCTGAAAAGCTAATCTGAACCAGTTTGCATTACTGTAATGCTAATGCTTTATAGCCAGTTTTCTTTACCTATAGCTCAGGAATTGCTAGGGGCTACATGAATGAGCTTCAATAATTATATACAAAAATGTGTCTTTATGGACTCGCAGGTT